ACCTAATCTCCCAATTCGTCCCACCCTCCCCTTCCCCCGCTGTGTCCATATGTCCGTTCTCTACATCTGCATCTCTATTCCTGCTCTACAGATAGGTTCATCTGTACCATTTTTCTAGATTCCACATATATGCGTTAATATACCATATTTTTCTCTTTCTGACTTACTTCACTGTGTATGACAGTCCCTTGATCCATCTACATCTCTACAAATGACCCAATTTCGTTTTTTTTTATGGCTGAGTAATACTCCATTGTATATATGGACCATGTCTTCTTTATCCATTCATCTGTCGATGAACATTTATGTTGTTTCCATGACCTGGCTATTGTAAATAGTGCTGCAGTGAGCATTGGGGCGCATGTGTCTTTTTCTGTGTGGGGAGGTTCTTTTGGTTTTTTTTTTTTTTTAGTGCTGTGGGGTTTTTAAATTTTTATTTATTTAATTTATTTTTGGCTGCGTTGGGTCTTCATTGCTGCGCGCGGGCTTTCTCTAGTTGTGGCGAGCGGGGGCTACTCTTTGTTGCGGTGCGCAGACTTCTCATTGCGGTGGCTTCTCTTGTTGTGGAGCAGGGGCTCTAGGCGCACAGACTTCAGTAGTTGTGGCTCATGGGCTCAGCAGTTGTGGCACATAGGCTCAGTAGTTGTGGCTCACGGGCTCTAGAGCGCAGGCTCAGTAGTTGTGGTGCACGGGCTTAGTTGCTCCGCGGCATGTGGGCTCTTCCCGGACCAGGGCTCTAACCTGTGTCCCCTGTATTGGGAGGCGGATTCTTAACCACTGCGCCACCAGGGAAGCCCTGCATGTGTCGTTTTGAATTATGGTTCTTAAACAGTCCCCTTATTCGTAAAAGGAAGCAGCTAGGTTGTTACCGCCGACCTGGGTTCTTGGATTCTTTAATCAATAGAAATTGTTAAGAGGCCAGACAGCAAATTCAGGCAAGGCTTTATTGGGGCTCATGCTGCAGCAGCATGAGCTGAAAACAAGTGACAGATTCCCTCGGCGGGGGTAGGGGGGAGTAGGGGAAGCTGGCCCCTTAACTGGGGTTAGGGTATGGATGGATGGGTGGATCCGCCGGAGGGGTGGCTTAGGGGGTCTGCCCACCCCCCTGGTGGTGCTGTGTGCAGGGATCGTGGCAGGTGGGTTTTGGCCTTTTTGTATCTTATTGTTCATGATTTGCCCCAACTGTGCAGGCACCCAGTTAGTTTAGTTCCTTATAGTTTCTTTGTATTCTGTTGCTCAAAGAGAGCAGACGTTTGTCCAGGTGCAAGCACTGCAGTGAAGGGTCCCACGTCCCACATCCCAGCCTGTCTCATAACCTGTTTGCCTCCAGGTCTGACATTCGGGACTCGGTGACTCCCTGTGGGGGAGGGAGGCTGCTTCCTACCCAGCTGTCTCGGGAGGAAGAAGGACTGGGTGTTCCTGGGAGGGCAGCAGGTCTGTCCAGGGGCTTTGGGAATGTGGGAACATGAGCCAGCTCCCCTGGTGCTCTTCTTGCCTGTGGCCAGTTCCCACAGTTTTTCCAGAGTTTGCCCTGAGGTTTTAGGGTCATGGGAGCAGGAAGCACTGAGGTGCTAGGGGCTGGCTAGTGGGGTGAGGGTGCCTGGTTCTCTAGGGAAAGAAGCCGCCAGACCTGCAGGGGGGAGGGGAGGAGGGGGTGAGGAGAGAGTTCCCATCCCTCCTCTGGCCTCCTCCAGAATGGAATTTTCCCGGCAGGACCAATTCTGACTCCAAGCTGGGGCCTGGGGCTGATCCTGCACCCAGCTGCCTTCCTGGGAAGGGGAGGGTGCAGATAAGAATGCAGCCTGCAATTCCAGGCCACTTGCCTCGGGAAGGGTCTCTCCCAAGGCCAGCAGTGCTGGCTGTGGCCTCTCCAGGCCAGGCTTTGTTTGCTCTGGGATAGGGGGCTCCCCCTGGCGTCCCAATCGGCATCTGGCCCAGTGGCCGTGTCCTCCTCAGTGGCTCGCTCTGGGGTCCAAGGAGATGGAGCAGGCGGGAGGTGAGTGGAGCAAGTGAGGGGACCCACTGTCAGGCAGCTGCTGGGTTGCCAGGGCCATGTGGAGCTCTAAAAGGAAGCAGCCCGAGGGTCAGGGCGGTGGGGAGCCAGGGACAGAGCTGACGTCCCTGCAGAGCCACGTCCACGAGCAGTCAGAGAACGATGGGCCTGCGTGAGCGGCCCTGGGTGATTCCTCCAAGGGCCTCTTTCCCCGGAGTCTCAGCCCAGGCCTAGCCTGCACCTCCCGCTCTAAACCAGCCCCATCCAAATGCCTTCCCTCGAGGTGGCTCAGCGCTAATTCCATCCTGGGTGTCCACATGCGGTGATTGGTGGTGACTCCCGGAAAGCAGTGATCAGTCAGCCGCGTCTGTGAAGGCGGGCAAAGGGGTGTGTAAGCCAGCCCTGCTGTAGGAGAATCAACCTACGAAGGCCTCACCTAGTTCATGCTGAGATGAGAAAGGCCGTCAACCCCAGTGCTAATAGGTGCTAATAGGCCACGGGGTCCATCCTGTTATTTTTCTGGATGGCCAGCGGGAGTCTGTGAGTCCGCTTGGATTGAGGTGACAGGGAATAGGTGGACAGCGTGGCCTGCAGGCCAAGCAGGCCGGGGCTGGGATCCTTCCGGCAGGAGCCACTCTGGACAGCAGCTGCCGGCTGCCGGGGCAGCTTTCCTTGCTGCTGGGCTGGTCTCCTGGGCCCTCCTACTGCCGAGGGCCCTTCGCGCTGCTCCCGCCACCCAGCCTGCTGGGGCCGCCCGAGCGTCCGCTCACCCTCCCTTCCTTTCCCGAGAGCCCGGTGACCGTCTATCCTGGGTTTCCTAGGAGAGGCCCATTTTATCATTTCCTCAGTTAAGGTGGGGTTTTTTTTCAAGTTTTTTTTTTTTTTTTTAATGTGGACCATTTTTAAAGTCTTTATTGAATTTGTTACAATATTGCTTCTGTTTCATGTTTTTTGGTTTTTTGGCCACGAGGCATGTGGGATCTTAGCTCCCCGACCAGGCATTGAACCCACACCCCCTGTACTGGAAGGCGAAGTCTCAACCACTGGACCACCAGGGAAGTCCAGGTGTTTTAAAATGCATTTAAGATTTAGTAAGTAAGTATATTTATATATCAGGAAATATATGGCAGACTGTCCTGGTTTCTGCCTCATTCCACACCTAGAGGTGGTCTCTGGGCTGCTCACCTGCCCCCAGACCCAACCTTGACCTTGTTGAATTTGCTGCCTCACAGAGGCTTTCCTTGACTGTTTGCTCTAACCAGCCCCGCCCATCACCTCTATCGCACCACCACCCATTGTGTGAGAAGATTGGTCCATTTGTGTATTTTGGACGGCACCAGCCAACATGAACCCCTGGAGAGCAGGCACTTTGCTCAGCATATCACCGCGGATCCCCCACCCCTGGACCAGTGCTGGGCGCACGCCAAGCACCAGATGTTCCTCAGCTTGTTGGATTTTCCCTCTTCTAGCACTGGCTTCTTCTGACCCATTGCTCTCAGCCAGAACCTGTGAAGCCTGGGCCCCCTTGTTGGAAGCATTCTAAGTCAGTGGCTGACGAGCCTGAGGTTCCCCCGTCTAAAGGGTCCCTACAAGAAAGAGGCGCTGACCATAGCTCTCCATCCGTATGGCGGGTGGACCCAGAGGGCCTGGGGCACCAGAGGCTGTCTGCCTTTCTGCCGGTGGGCTGGCCCCTCCTCCTAGATAGCCTCGAGGCCACAAGACTTGGAGAACGGTGCCCCTTCCCATGTCCACGCCCCATGTTCTCACACAGACAGCAGCAGTCCCATTTGGCCCTAGGCCCTCTCCCAGGCTTGGGCTGAGCCGGGTCCCCTCAGGGGTGCTCTCGAGGGACCAGGCCTCAGCTTCCTGGGTCAGAAAGTTCTCAGGATGGGACAGGTCAAAGCCGGCTCCAGGCTTCTCCTGGAATTTCCCGTTTCCTGGAAGGAGGGTGAGGTCATGTTCCTTTTCACTTTAATGGGATAATGGGGCCCAGCCTGGGGTGCTGTCTGGATTTCTGTTCAGAGGTCTGGTCACCAGGAGAGCTGGATACCCTTTTTGCAGGTGTCCCCGGACCAACCATCCCACCCAGTTGATTCTCTCCCTCGGTGCCTCAGCTTTGCTGCAAGGCTTCTCCTCTCCCCACTGCCAGGAGACATGACTCTGGGGCAGGCCCCTGCCATGGAGCCTGATCTGCGCCTTGCATGTGGTGTGAGTGCCGGCCAAGCACCCTGCGCCTCTTTCCAGCCCAGATTTCAGTCTTCTCTGGTGCATCACAGTCACCCACGCCTCTGTAGGATCTTGGCATCCCTTCCAGCTCCAGCAGGGGACCCGGCACACCTCGGGCTCCATAAATGTTTGCTCCACTCCACTCTGTGGCTCTATGACTTTTCCCAACAATGTTCCCCCAATCCTTTCACCTGGGCCTGTTCCCCTCCACTTTAGGGAGGGTATACCCTGGGGCTTCTCAACCCAGACCCTGTGATTAGAAGGTCGGGCTTCAGAGCTGACACCTGGTGAAAATCACCCGAGGCTGATGACCAAATGTGGTCAGTAGGACCCTGCCACCCAGCATACCCTCAGCCTCTGTCATGGAAAGCCAAGCGGGGCAGATGGAGTCCTAGCCCCCTGGACTCCCACTCTGCTGGGGTGCACGTTGGCCATCGTGGTGCTTCCTCCCTTCAAAGCTGCCCTGGTCACCACTGAAACCTTCTCTCTTACCAGGCTAGAAGGGGTGTGTGTGTGTGTGTGTGTGTGTGTGTGTGTGTGTGTGTGTGTTGGTGGGGGTCACTCTCTGGCCTGCCCGCCCATCAGATGGCTCCTGGCACCTAGCCCCGTTTGTTTAGGAAGGGGTTCCCTAACCGTGTCACAGGGTAGCATGGAAGGGGTGACACCCCTGTGGCCAGAGGAGGCGTAGCTGCTACCCTGGGCCCTTGCGATCTCGCCAAGATTTGATCTGAGGTGGAGCCTCCTCTTGGAGAATGAAAGAAACAGAACCGACACAGTTTGCTCAAGTGACATATTTCAATATAATCTCTAAAACTCTATGAATTGAACAGATAAAATACCTCTGGGCTATTTTGTTACAAAATATTTGCCATTTGGATTAGTTGCTGGGTGCAGCCGCCCTGCCTTTCTTTCCCTAGAGAGGCTGCTCTCTGACGGGGGGCAGGGTGTGTGCAGGGGGAGGGGTGCGGCAAGGATGTATGTACAGCAGGACACGGGGACAGACGGACCGACGGTTATCGGGGAAACCTATTGGCAAAGAGAGACGTCTGGCAGGCGGTGGGGGGGGACAGGGGGGGGGGGGGCCAGGGGCCAGGGGCTGATCGCGTGGGTGCCTTTGCACGTAGGCAGCCAGGCTTCCAGGACATGCTCCAGCTCTGGAGTGGGCTGGCCCCAACGCGGGTGGGAGAGCTAGTTTCACCTCCCGCTCCTGATTCTGGAGTTGGGGCTAAATGGATAAAACCGGGAGGGGGCCCGGTCCCCAAAGTAAGGCCTCGAGTGTCGACATCGCGGGGCCACCTTGGGGTCCTTGCACGTGTGCCCAGGAGGCTGTGTCTGGGAGCCCAGTCAGCACCCCACGGCTCCCCTGGCCTGGGGGTGAGCGGGCGGCCCGAGAGCATTTCCAGCTGGGCCCTCCGGGAGGGTGGAGGCCCTGACGTGGCCGCAGCCACGGGGAGGACACGAGGCTTGTCACAGCTGTCTGGGGGCTCGGCTCTGGGGACGGGCACGCAGACGGGTCCCAACCTCAGCCTGCTGGCTGGTCAGGGGAGGGGAGTCACCGAGGCCGGGAACCCTTGCTTCCCCGACCGTGAGTCGGCCCCGCTGCACCCTGCCCCAGGCCTTCAGGCACTCAAGCCCCTCGCCGCTCAGAATTCGCTGCATGCGCTGCTGACCGCATGCTTCCTCGGCCAGGACGCCCAGTGCTGCCGGTGCGGCCCAAGGCAGCCACCGCAGCGACCGGGGCCGCGGGGAGCCCCTACCCAGGGGAGGGCACAGAGATACTGGAGCATCCAGGCCCCCAGAGAGATGCTCCACGGACATGCCAGCCCTGAGGCGCCTGCAGGTCCCAATCTGGAAAGTCTGGGCGTCAGCAGAGTGGGAGGGGGGCACCGGGTGAGCAGGTGACGAGGGGCCCGGGAGCTGGGACTGTACCCCCATGGCTCCCACCCCATAAACATATCCAGCCACTCGTAACTCCTCTTCTTCTGAACCCACACCCCTGCCGCCCAGGCCTCGGGCACCGGGTGTGTGAACCGTGCACCCCATCAGTCAGCCGCTCTGCCCTGAAAGGCTCTGATTGGAGCGACCGTGTGACAGAAAAGACACAGGAGAGGGGCCGGGACAACAAGGAGGGGGGGGGGGGGGGGGGGGGAGGAGACAGCAAGTGGTCACACGTTATGGACACCCGGCTGACGGAGACAGGGCCAGAACACACTCGCTAGGGGACAGCATAATGACGCCTGGCGATCACACACATACACACGCAACTAGGTCACCTGGGATCTCTGAGAGCAGGGGGAGTCCGGCCTCCTAGTGGCCCGGGGGCCCGCAGCTGGGCTGTGGGGTAGGGGTTAGGGAGAAGCAAATGCACTCTAGATCAGTATTCACCTCCACCTCTCGGGATGTCTTGGACCTGGGCTCCGAGAGGGAGGGGAACTTAACGGACAGCAGTGAGCTGTCGGCTCAGGACCAGAGGAGGGTCCGGCCTGGCTCGGGACCAACAGTCCCTGGAAGGGTACCCCGGGATCTTTGAGGCAGGGCTGCCTGAGCCCTGTGGGGCTGCACAGAAGTTGGCTCTGATTCTGCTGGGCTCTGGGTTGGGCCGCGAGCCCTCTTGGCTCTCCTTGGTGATTTTGAAGGTGTAGGGACTCTTCCCCACTGCTGCAGGCGGGCCTCTGCCTTCTGGGGTGTGCCGGGGGCGGGGCTTAAAGGGCTAGTTTGGGATGGCAGCACGGGACATGCCAGGCCTCTCGCCCACTTCTGCGTCCACATCCCTCGTGGAGGCCACGGAAGTCATTCAGGAGGGTGCCTGGCCCTGGGCCGGAATCCTGCCTCTGCTGGCTGCATTCGCCCCTGGGCCCACCCCTGCCCCTCCCCGTTTCTGCTCCGATACCTGGATCTCCTATGTATGTGTTTATGCCCTGGGCGCACTGGCTGTGTATGACTTGCGGCTAGAGAACAAGAAACTCTTTAAAAGTGCATTTTATAGATACATGACCTGATTCCCTGGCTCTGTTGAACTGACCAAGAGAGAGCTGAGATGGGTGCCCCCTCCCATCCCCCCCTTTCCCAGTGCTCTCCTGAAGTCTCGGCAGCCCTGGGCAGGCAGCGCCCCAGCCCCTGAGAAAGCAGGAGAGACCCTGGGAGGAGGGGAGTCTGTGGCCAGGACAGCCAACATCCCTGGGCGCAGAGGAGTCACCTCCTGAGACTGCCGGGCTTGGCGGGGCGGGGGGCAGCAGAGAAAGCCCCCTCCTCATGCCTCCCCCTGACCTGGCCGCTCCAGGGACCCAGGGCCGACTGTCCACCACCCAGCGTGGCACCCAGCGCTGGGGTGGTGAGCCAGACCACCTTCTAAGGCTTGGGTGCTGGCCACCCAGCCCTCACGCCTGGCAGACTTGGCCTGGAAGCCGGAGAGGCCCTCAGTCCCTGTTCCAAGTGGCCAGAGTAATGGTGGGGGGAGAGGAGGCCTGGCCGTGCCTGGCTGTGTTGGGCCCCAGGAGAGTGAGGGGTGTCTGCAGGTTTGGGGGGAGGGTCGCTCAACTGAGCAAGGGAAGCTTGGGCCAAGCAAACCAGGTGCCAGGGACTGGGACTCTCTCTCTGAAACGACAGTGGTGAGTGGCCAGGAAGGCAGCGTGCCGGGCGTGGGGAGCAGTGGGTGAAGGGGCAGCGGGGGCCCCGACGCAGCCCCCCGGGACAGCAGCGTAGGGGGGTTGCCGAGTCTACACCAGGCTCCTGGCGCCGCTGGAGCAGCAGCGCCGGTGCAGCAGGGAGCCAGGCGGGCAGAACTGGTGCGGGTGGTTGTAGGGGGGCGGGGCGGGGGGCAGGGGCGGCTGGTGGGCCGCCTTGACGGGGGAGCCCGGGCCGCCCAGGGCCGTGGAGGAGGACGCGGTGTAGCAGGATAGGGCCTGGCTCAGCAGGGGCTCCATGCGGGCCAAGCAGGGCTGGTCCAGGACGATGACCTTGACAATCTGCTGGCACTGCACCAGGGTCCCGGGGGCTGTGGGCGGCGGTGGTGGCAGCAGAGGGGGCTGCTCCCTCGAGGGGCTAGGCTGCAGGTCTGGCGCTGGCGCTCCCCTCTCGGCCCCCAGCCCGGAGTAGTGCTGGGACGTTTGAAGCCTGTTGTGAATTGACACCTAGTTTAGAAACAGCCAGAGAAGCATGTAATGTTACAAGACTAAGTCCCAGCTGCTAGGACTGGCCACCCTGGGCCTCCCTTCCCCCCTTCCCCAGCCCCTGTGCCCACTGGGGGCTCGCAGCCCTCACCTCGGCCAGCTGCCCATCTCTCCGCCACCCAGAGGGCACCCAGCTGGCAGGCAGAGGCGCTGAGCCTGGGTGGAGTCCAGAGACGCTGTGCTCTACCCGGCCTGAGTGGCCTGGCTCCTTCTGTGGGATGGGCGGCTGGACCGATGGACTCAGGTCCTGCTGGGTGGCCCTGGGCCCCAGGTGGGCACCCACCCACCTTCCCACCAACCTCGAGCTGGGAAGGCAGGGGTATCTGCCTGCGCCCTGCCTCCCAGGGGTGTGCGGTGGACACGGGGACAGGGTCCGGAGTCAGCTGGCTTGGAGCTTTGCAAGCCCCTAACCCTCCCACCAGCTTTTTAAAGGGAGGCCTTCTCATCACTGTGAATCACAAAGGTGTCCAAACCCTGGAATGCCACGGACCCCAAGGGGTGGTGTGGACCTGCCCCATCCTCCCAGACTCCCCAGGGCTGTGCCCACACATTGGAGAGCGGCCAAGGCCAGAGCCAGGTCCCCAGCTGCCCTTCTGGCCCAACCTGGGCCCTGGAGAAATCCGTCCCGCTGCAGGAGGGGGAACCCAGAAAGGGCTCTAATCTTTCCCCCTTGGGTGGGGCATGAGGGGGTGGCCCATGGAGGGCACTGGGAACTAGCCTGGCCTCCTCTTGCTAGCAGGGGAGGTAGAAGAAATAGGAGGATTCTGGAAGGAGAGGGGTTTAATTCCTCATCCCTCCAGCTCACCAGCCTGTAGATACGACACACGATCCCCTTCCGACACCTGGGCCCTTCAGGGAGTGGCTGAGACCCTTCTCTCTGAGGATGCCCTTGGGTACCACGACCCAGGCCCGCTGCTCAGTGCACAGGGGGCGGAAACCGAGGCTGCAGGGGAGGGGATCCTATGGCCAGGTCTAGACCAGGAGGGCCCTGCCCTAAACCATCTCAGAGCCCTAAGCCTGACCCTATTTACTGGCAAAAGGTGCAGTTTCAGGGACGCCCCCTCCTGGGTCCGGGCACTGCCCTGGTGGGCTGCTCGGCTCTCCAGCCCCGTTCCTCTGCCCTTGGGTTTTCACAAGCCCCCACGGCCAAGCTCCGCAGGCTGCAGGCTCTACGCTCCATTCTCAACCTCCAGCCTCAGCAGTGTGTCAAGCCTGAGCTTCCCCCGCCTCCCAATCAATCAGAGGAGCCCCGGAGCCCCTTGGTGCCCTGCCAAGCCCTGGGGTGGGCCGAGAGCAGGGCTGCGTCCACCTCCCTCTCGGGGAGCCCTCTGTGGTCCTCACTGGGACAGAAGCCTTCTGTCCACTGCTGCTGGGGAGGGGTGGGTGCGGCTCCTTTCCCCACCTGCTTGTCTTCTGAGTTATTCCCTGGGAGAAAGTGGCCTGAGACAGCGGGGCAGGCCTTCTGCTCTCCGCCCCCAGACCTTACAGCTGCCCTTCCCCAGGCAAAGGCCTGGCCGCCCCAGTCCAGACCCTCCGAGCCCCGCTGTGGCCACAGCCCTGGCCTCACCCTGCACCTCCTCTTCGCCTCCCCTTCCCCCCTCCCCCTCCACCGTCTGCACCTCCCTCCGGTCAGTAAGTGAAAAGCAGGAAGTGACAGCAAAACATTCCCTCATTCTGACCCCCTTCCCACCTCCCTGCTGATGAAAGAAAGAAGAGAGAGAGGGAGAGAGAGGGAGAGAAGATGGAACATGGGTAGCAGGCCTGACAGCTCAGACAGGCTGGAGAAGCGCCTGCCGGCGGGGTGGCCAGGCAAGGACAGAGCGGGTGGAGGACGCGGGAGCTCAGGGTCCAGCCGAGAGGCCGGCAGTGAGGCCACCTCTGTGCAGGGGAGCAGAGGCTGTCAGAGCCCTGGGACTAGCCGGGGTGGCAGCCTTGCAGATAGCCACGTGGCCCTCTGGGCCCGGGAGGAGGGGATAATGGTCCCCAGATCGCGGCCCTCCCTGGGCAGGCGGTGCTAAGCCACAGGCAGGGCTGGTAGAACAAACCGAAGGGAAGGGCTGGTAACTTCGTGTGTTTATCTGCAAGGCTGGAGAACGGCAGCTGCAGCATGATGGGCAGAGGAGGGGCAGGGGATGGAATACCCACCCTGGGGGCTTGTCAGCTGCTGGGGCAGGAAGCTCCTCCGTGTGAAGGTGCCTCCTCCAGACACAGGTGGGGGGGGGGGCGGGGGAGGGAGAGGAGAAGCTGCGGTTTTCTGGGGTGTCCTGGGGCTTCCCCAAGCTTAGGCTGGGGGCAGGGCTCCTCCCTCAGAGCCCGAAGTTGGGGCTCCTCCAGCTTGGAGTGAGGGTCTGTGTGAGCAGTGAGGGTCCCTGGAGGCCTGGCAGAAAGGAGTGAGGGGCTCACCAGGGTCCGAGGGGAGCCAGTGGGGAGGGCTGGGGCCCAGCAGGCCTGCGGGGCAACTGCATGCCCCGTCCCAGGTGGCCGCCGGGGGCCTGGTGGGCACCCGCTGCCGCTGCTACTTCTCCAGTCCCCTCCCTCCAACGTGGACAGTCTTCAGATGCAGCAGCCGCCCGCCCCGCTCCAGGAGAAGCCCTAAGACAACCCCACCCCCACCCCGCCTCACCTCCTCCTGCACATCCCACCCCGTGGCCAGCTTTCCAGATGGACCAGCTGTCCTGGGCGGAAACTGTACCCTCCCAGCCGCCTCCACTTTGCCCAGAGGCATCCAGGAGGGCAGGGTCTGCCCCGCCGTGCTCACTCAGGCAACAGACCTAAGGGGTGATTCTCGAAGGGGCCAGGCTCCCTGCTACAGAGGCTGGCAAGATGTGGAGGAGGGAACCTTGGTCTCTGATACGGGAGCATCAGGACCACGGCAGTGTGCGGGGCGGTGGATTCGGGGGACTGCGGGAGGGATGCGATGGGGGCATTGGGGGCTTTATCTGCACGCATTAGTGTGGGAGCTCGGCCTGGGGGGCTCGGCGGGGAGGGCGGGCTGGGGAATGGGAGGGGGCACTGTGGCTTGATTAGGTGCTGGAAGAGTGGTATTACCCATGCTAGCAGTAACTTTTAATTGTATCTCTTGAAATTGGTAAAATGGTGAGTCGGGCTGGGGAGGCATTGATTAAAACCTGAGAAGAGAAACAACAGAGACAGTGAGAGGAGGGCAGGGGGCACAGACTCACTCACCTGGGCAACCAGGCCTCCACTCACCTCCGCTGTGCTCTCCACCGCCTTCTCTGCCGGTGCCGCTCCCCTTTTGGCTTTGAATGCAAAGAGCACAGGGCTCACTCTCCACCTGGCCCTGTCCCCCACAAAGCCCTGTCTCCGCCGCCCCGCAGCCCCCAACCAAGCCTCCCTGCAATTCAGTGCGGCGGCCGGAGACTCCAGGACCCCCGCCACTCCGGGGGCAGTGGACTGGGCATCTGAGCCCAGCTCTGCCACGTACTAGCTGTGTGACCTTGGGCAAGATGCTACACCTCTCTGGGCCCTCATGGACTAGAAGGTCTCTGACGTTTTTCCTTGCTGGGTATTGTGGAGTCTCCTTTACCCACAGTCAGAGCGCCCCATACAGACTGTGCAGGTTGGTTGTGAGGAGGCCTTGGTTCTTGGTTCCCAGAGCAAAAGGGGGCTCCTCTGTGTCTGTGGCACAGGCTCCGAGAGGGAGGGGCCACGTTCCTTTCCTGTTCCTGCTCCTTAGCTGAGCGGTGAGGATTCAGCTGCACGAGCCACAGGGCAGGGCCTGGCACAAATAGCTGATAATGGCTCTGACTGCTACCAGGGCTTCCTGATGGGCCTGGCACAGCACCAGGGACCCTGCAGACACCCGGGGACAGCTTGATGATTTTTTCTGGCTCAGTCACCCCTGACTCCCACCCCTACCCCCAGCAGGCACCCCAGAGCCCTCGGCCGGGGCCCCTCTGATTTCTCACACACCCGGGGAGGGTGCTAGTTCCCTTGCTGTGCACATCCCTCTGCTTTCTGTAGCACAAGAGGAAGCTGGGGAGGGAACTGATGGACAAGGCCCCGGAGATACACATCAGGGCCTGGCCAGGGGCTGCAGCTTCCCAAAGAGGCGGGCTGGGCTGCAGAGAGTGGAGTGGGGCAGGGTGTCCGGGAATCAATCACAGCTGAGGTTTGACTCTATTACACAGCTGTGAAAACAAGCGTGTACTGTGACCTTGTAGAAATAAAGGGCCAGGACTTCCTTGGTGGCGCAGTGGTTAAGAATCCGCCTGCCAATGCAGGGGCCACGGGTTCAAGCCCTGGTCCAGGAAGATCCCACATGCCACGGAGCAACTAAGCCCATGTGCCACAACTACTGAAGCCTGCGCACCTAGAGCCCGTGCTCTGCAACAAGAGAAGCCACCGCAATGAGAAGCCCGCACACCGCAGCAAAGAGTAGCCCCCGCTTGCTGCAGCTAGAGAAAGCCCGCGCACAGCAACAAAGACCCAACACAGCCAAAAATCAATACATAATATAAATTTATAAAGAAAGGAAGGAAGAAGGAAAGAAGGAAGGAAAGAAAGAAGGAAGGAAGGAGGAAAGGAAGAAAAAAGAAAGGAAGGAAGAAAGAAAGAAAAGAAAGAAAGGAAAGAAAGAAATGAAGGGCCAGCTGAAAACCAGGGCAGGTGGAGAATTATGAACACATGGTGGCAGGTCAGACCCATACACCGAGGAGACACCACAGTGAGGGTCTCCATGAGCTAAAAGAGCCCCGAGTCTTGCTTGGAAAACAAATCTCCTCTCCCAGCTGGTGTGACCAGTCCTGTGATGCTGATACAGCATCTCGGTGCCACGGCCGTAACCGGGGGTTTGGAACCAGCATGGAGCCCACTGGAGTGTCTCAGCACAAGCTGACGTCTTGCTGGGACCCTGGCTTTCCAGGGCTTAGCACAAGGCACACAGCAGGCACTCAGTAAGTGTTCATTAAATGTAGGAATAAACGACTGAATTAATTAGTGAACAGCTCTGGATGGTTCGCTGGGGTTTGCTGGGATGGGATTTAATTCTCATGCCACCTCTCCTAATTCTTTTCTGTTTGGGGCAGATGGAGCAGGGGTGGGGGGGTGAGGGGTGGAGACAACTCTTCCTGTCTCCCTGCAGGTTGGGGGGAAGGGGGAAGGTAGGAGGGGGCAGTGGGAGCGGGTCTAGAGAACGTGGCCAAAGGTGATACAAAATCTGAAGCTGGCTTGACTTCTCTGGAGTGAAAATTCAACTTGAAGAAATCATTTGAGAAATTGGGTTTGAGGGTTCATCTGGGTTTCGGGGTGCTGACTCGGGCCTGGGATTAGAGAGTGATGTTGGCTCATTAGGGGAAGGTCTTGATGGGGCAGATCAAGATTTCCAGACCCTTCTGGCCACCTGCCTTCTCACCTGCTCCCAGCCACAGACACGGCACTTTTTCCTCACGTGGCTTCCCTTTCCCACAGCCCTAACCCCCGGTGTGCGGAGGGAACAGGCGGGCACTGGGACCCTGAGCCTGATGCCTCCAGGGGGAACAGTGACCTTTCTAAGTGGACACGTTTCTCTCTCACCTTCCCCCTCAGTCTCGCTGCTAAAGACCCAGCAGATGAGGCCACGGAAACGAGCCTTTCCCTCACCCGAATCCCCAGGACCCCAAGGCCAGGGTCGCTGAGTGGCCTCCACGTGGGCCAGGGCCGCAGGTCTGGAACTCACCTGTGGGCGATCCCTGCTTCGACTGTGGCTCCACCTGGGCTCCCCCGGCCTTGAAGGAGAGAGTCTTCGTTCCTTGCTGCTTCTCCAGCTCCCCTGGGGAATGGAGAGGCTCGTGAATGGAGAGAAACCCCGACCTCTAGCACACAGAGGGGAGAGGAGAAATGAGACAAGGGCAGGAGGAGGACGAGGGGCTCCCAAACATACGGCACCCACTCCACGTCAGCCTCAATGCCGGGGCTGGCAGCACCTGTTCTGGCAGCCAGAGAGGAGGTGCAAGAGGTTGATAAGAGGGAGGCAACAGCCTGGGTCTGCATCCTGGCTCTGATGCTGCCTGGCTGTGTGGCTTCAGGCAGGTTACTTATCCTCTCTGTGCCTCCCTTAAGGGGACTGCAGTGTCCACTTCAGAGTGTCATTAAAAGCATCACAGGAGGGGACTTCCCTGGTGGCACAGTGGTTAAGAATCCGCCTGCCGATGCAGGTGACACGGGTTCGAGCCCTGGTCCAGGAAGATCCCACATGCCGCGGAGCAACTGAGCCCATATGCTGCAACTACTGAAGCCTGCGCTCTAGAGCCCGTGCGCCACAGCTACTGAGCCCGTATGCTGCAACTACTGAAGCCTGCATGCTGAGAGCCTGTACTCCACAATGAGAAGCTCGTGTGCTGCAACGAAGAGTAGCCCCTGCTTGCCTCAACTAGAGAAAGCCCATGCGCAGCAACAAAGACCCAACACAGCCAAAAATAAAAGATAAATAAATAAATTTATTTTAAAAAAAAAAGAGGATCACAGGAGGAAAGACATTAAGGCACTTAGAACAAGGCCTGGATGTTGCAAGGGCTCAGTAAACATCAGCTCCTGTGATGACATCAAAGGCTCACGTGGTGTAGCAGCCTCAGCACCGCTGGTGCCGTCCAGCCAGCTGGCTGAGCTCCCCCGACGAGGAGGTCCCAGTCGCCCGGGGCTCCGGCAGAGGTCTGTCTGGCTACTCGGCTTTAATTCCTCTCTCTAGACTGTAAACCTGTTCCTTCTGTCTTTTCTCGGTGGTGCTGGAGAACGGCCAGTTACCCTCCTTGGAGATTTGACAGCCGTTATTAAATCTCTCCTCCGTTCCTCTTTTCCAGGAGACATCACTCGAGTTCCTTGTATTAAAGCTACTCTCTTGGGTCCCATTTTCTGCCTGTCTAGTCGTCTGTAATCTGGGGGCACCGGCCTGCAAACCCCAAACCAGAACCATTTGTGCCGATTGCCCGAGTCACACCATCAAGCAATACTCAATATTTTTACTGAAGTGAGAGTGGCTCTCTCTCCCCAGAGGGGCCGTCTTGGCTTTGGAGAAGTTAACGCTGTAATTACAAGCAAGGCATCCGAGGAACCTGGGTGCCAGTCTTGTCCTGTCAATGACTGCATGAATTTGGACAACTTCCTTAAGTTCTGTTAGACTCAGTTTCCTTATTTGCAACATGAAGATAATAATTCTCACCTCCTGGAAAGATGTAGCAACAGTTCATACAATAGGCTCGGCATTCAGCCCAGTGTGGGCATGTAGTAGGTGCTCGAGAAACGGGAGCTGTGGCTACTTTTTCCTGTTTTCTACTTCCTTTTTCCCTGCCTCTCTGAGCAGCCCTTCCTCTTTCCTCAGCTTTCTTCCCTTTCTCTCCAGACATGAGCCTGGTCCCTGCTCTCCTGCCCTCAGCACACGGATCTTGGCGACATCTTCTCCTTAGTACTTGGAGGGGCAGGACGTGCTGCTCCCAGGCTGATGGGGAAAGGGACTTCTGGCAGCCATGCTGGTGCCCACCCGTGGGCTCTGTGCTCCGCGGCTGTGCGGACCCATCTAGGACATACAAGAGGGTGTGTCTCTGAGAATGTTCTAGATCAACAGCAAAGGTGGCATTGAAAAGAGTCTGTCTGTTACACCCCTGAACTCACGTCGCCAATGGAGAGCAGAAGGGGAATTTACACCCTCCCTGTACCAGGTGATACTGAGTTAGTTTCACAGTCTGGTCTGGTGAGGTGGGGTTTTTTAAATTTAATTTATTTATTTTTGGCTGCACTGGGTCTTCGTTGCTGCGCGCAGGCTTCCTCTAGTTGCGGCGAACGGGGGCTACTCTTCGTTGCAGTGCACGGGCTTCTCATTGCGGTGGCTTCTCTTGTTGCAGAGCACGGGCTCTAGGCGCGCGGGCTTCAGTAGTTGTGGCTCGCGGGCTTAGTTGCTCCACGGCACGTGGGATCTTCACAGACCAGGGCTCGAACCCGTGTCCCCTGCATTGACAGGCGGATTCTCAACCACTGCGCCACCAGGGAAGTCCCTGGTGAGTTTTTGTTTTAACCTGATTTCGTTGTTTCCTTAGGAAATTATAAACAGAAGCTGCCCTCTCATTTTCAGGGTGGAAAGTACATGAACCTTAGAATCAGACTTCACTGCAACGGCCAGATCCTCCGCTTCTAATATGCACCTTAGACGCATCCCTTAACTGCTCTGAGTCCCATCCGTGAAGTGGGGGCCAACACCTGCCTTGCAGCCTCACCGTGAACACCTCAACAAACCACCTGGCACACAGTAGGTGCTCCAAAGATGCTGATGAAATAGCACCGCCCTGGCGCATCGGCCCGTGCTCAGAAACTCCCACCGCCTTTCCTCCTGCCCAAGGGCTTTATGCCAATTTAGAAATACTTTTCAACTAAGTGGCCATGTAAGGCAGACCTGGAGTCTGTTTTTATTTTGTTTTAGTTTCTGAATCCATGCTTACTTAATTTTCCTTTAAAGCCTCTTTGAAGCCACTGCAGTACTTCACCAGGAAAGCTTGCAGGTGGGCAGAGACCACAGGGCGTCACTGCTCTTTTCTTGGTAAACCACCGGGACAGATGAAGAGGCGCAGAGATTGTCTACAATACCTGAACGGGAGCAATCGGGAACAGAGGCACTCCTTGGAGGCCAGAAAGACAACTCCAAGACGAGGGACAGTCAGAAAGCCAGACTGGACTCTTCAAGGGGATGACGTTATGAAAAAATTAAGTGGGGGGCTATTCTAGGTTAGAAGAGATGAAAACCATGAAACAACCGGGTGTGACGTGTGAATCTGGACTGGGTCAGGGGAGGAGGCTGCCAGGGAGGTTGGGTGGGAAGAAGTGCTCCAGGCCCGGACCTCCTCGGTTTGCAAGCCTGCCTTTAAGGCCGGCTCGCTCGCTGGTCCTGGTCAAACCCAGCAGAGTTCTCCGTTCCGGGGGGCCCACATGCCGCCCCACGGCCTGGCTACATGTGCACACGCATGTGTACACCCTCAGGTACCTCGCCTTAACTGTGAGGCATCCATCAGCCATGATGGTGCCGTGGGGCTGAGGCAGGGAGGGCTCTGGAGGGCAGGAGGGTCCTGGCGCGCCCACACACCCTCCGCAGGGGTGCAGGGAGTGTCTGTCTGCAAGCGACCTTGCTCCCGCTGACCAGAGCCCGGCCGCACGGAGGCTCTGGGGTCACCGCGTCCTTACACTCTATCCGGATCTGCTCCAGCTCCGTCACTTCCGCGATGGACTCCTTCAGGTCCTCCACAAACTTCCGCATCTCGTCCAAGCCCAGGGCGCAGAAGTGCAATACCTGCTTCTTCTCGGAGCCCGAGAGCGGGGTCACCAGTGTGATGCCGTGAGAGTAATCTGGAAACCAGACCCCAGGCCCCACAGGCCGTGAGCAGCCGCAGGTGAGGAGGGGGCCTCTGGAGCACCTGCCCCTCCCCCTCCCCTGCACCCCCCACCCTCTGCCACATCCATGGGTGACCGAGACTCACACTCGTTCTCAAAGAGGTGGAACTGCATGCCCAGGAGGCCCACGGACTTGCAGAAGGTGTACGTGGAGGAGCTCTTCTTCTTGGGGCAGAGTTTGAGAATCTGTCCAAGACAGGGGAACAGCCGTGCACTGACAGGTGTGCATGTGTATAAACGTGCCTTACACACCTGGATGAGTGAACACCCAGGGCTCTTGTGAACACAAGTAAACACCCAAAAAGAGACATGCACACACATGCCCACTTACGCACTTAGGATACATTCACACACATATACACACGTGTACACACACATACATATGTACAGACACAGTATCAAAATACAGTCTTCACTGCACAAAATGCTCCAGTGGCCATTCCCACAGCACTTAGAGGCCAGTCCACACTTCATGCCCTGGTTTGTAAGCCCCACCTAGTCTGGTCCCTGCCTTACTCTGGCTTTATGTTCAGTCCGTGCTGCGCTTCCTGTAGCTTGAACGGGGCAGGCCCAGTCCTACCACAGGGCCTTTGCACCTGCTATTTCCTTCCACAACTCGCCCTGCAGCTTCTTGCGTGGTTGGGTTACTCTCATTACTTAGATCTTAACTCAAATGCCGCCTCCTTAGAGATTCCTTCCCTGACCAGCCTTTACAACAAACAAAAACAAAATAAGAGGAAAAAAAATCCACCTTAACACCAGCTACTCCAACCTATCGCCCTGCTTTGTTGTCTTCATGGCACCTTCCCCCGGTTTGATATCATCTTGTTTGTCTTCTTAATTATTTTCTACCTCCCTTGTCTCCTGAAACGCAAGCTGAGGTAGCAGTTGCTTGGTGTACAAATGTTTCTTCGGCACCTTCTGAGCTGGGCTCTGGGACACAGGAGAGGACGGGGGAGCCCGGCCTCAGGGTGCCTCCCTCCGGGGAGGAGGACCCTCAGGGTCCATAAATCAATCAATGGATCAATCCATCATCGCATAGTAAGCCAAAAAGCAACGGGAAGAAACGGATACATAGGGTAACTGCAGAAACTGGTAGGTGTTTTGAAGAAGAAGTAGGGTCAGGACAAGACGGTGGCTGGGCAGGCCACCTGTGAGATGGGGGGAGAGCATCTGCATTGAATGAGGAGAGGCAGGGGGTTGTGCAAGGTCTGGGGAGCTTTTCAAGCAGACGATGGAGCCACAAGATTAAGGCCTGAGACGGACGGAGCCTGGAGTTGGCCTGGGGAGGCAGCTGGTGGGGCAGGGGGCGGGCGGCAGAGGAGAGGCGTGGAGGGAGGTGAGGTCTGGGAGCTGGCGATGCTTACTCCGCGGAGGTGGACCTCAGGCGGGGAGCGTTGGATTTGGGACAATTTTCGAGGTAGTGCCAGTATGACTTGTGGATGGAGAAGGTATGGGGTTTGAGGAAAAGACAGAAGCCAGACCCTGTTCACTCTGCTTCCCAGCACTTAGAACACTGCCTGGGACATAGTTGGTACTCATTAAATATTTGTTGTATGGATACCTGTGTTCAAAGAGCAAAGGCCGAGCACCCCACAAACGTGCGTGTGCGCGCACACACACACACACACACACACACACACATGCCCACACATACACCAGCATCCCCCCTGGGCCCAGGGATAGTGTGGGCCCCCCTCAGGCCTCCTGCGCTTCCCAGGCTGTGGGACGGACGTGCAGCCCTGTACCCTCCAGCCCCAGGTTCCCCACAATGAGGGGGATGCAGAGGCTCTGGGATCTAATCCATTCGCACCAGGACCCGGGAACCATGAACCTCTCTGTGCCTCAGCTTCATAACTAACAAAGTAGGAAGGATCATATCTGCCTGGGCTACCTCACACCCACACTGGAAAATCAGCCACTGGGTATGCAGCATCATGGCATCCTGGGGGGCAGGGTGCCCTCGGAGCCCTCGGGGCCTCCGGCCCTCTGGGGGTCCCCACTCACCACCAGCAGGTCGTTGAAGAGGAACACCTCCCTCTGGTGTGCGGCCTGCTTCTGCAGCTTGTTCACATCCGTCACCTCGAAGAGCCGGCTGCAGCAGACCAGGCGGCGATGGGGCTCTGACAGCACCTGGGCCGGGACACAGCACTCACAGCTGGGGGAGCCGCCGAGGTCGCAGCCCTCCTGCCCCCAGCGCCCACTTTGCAGAAGAGCAGATGCAGGCCCAGGTTGGCCCTGACCCTCCCTCTTTCCTCCCCCGTGCTCTCTCCCCTTCCTCAGCCTCCTTAGGGAGCAGGGCTGGGCCAGAGTGCTTCACAGTGCTGGACGCAGTGAGCAGATAAAAGGCAGGGAAAAGAAATCGAAAAGAGCCTTCGGGCTGTGCGCTCCGTCCCTCCGAGGCCTTCGGGCTATGCCTCTCCTCTGCTGCACACCCAAGCACCAGTGTGCAAGAGGGAGGGGTCCTGGGGACACCGCGAATCTGCTCCAGTGTGTGAAACAGCCCCCTCAGGGGGCATCCGCAAACCTGACAGAGGCTCTGACCTCAGCACAGCAGGCTCCAGCCAGAAAAGGCCGGCCCCGCACGACTGGGCGGAAGCATCCAGCACAGAGCCTCAGACGAGGTCCCCAAACTGCTCCCTGAGCCAAGAATTTGGAGAGGTTAGGGTTAGGGCGATGGAGGCCAGGACCTTTATGTCTACGGTATACAGAGCCCCTGCTGACGTCTACAGAGGATGCTTCCTTAAAAATCATTGCAAACTTGGAAAACGCTGCAAACTGCCACACAGGCTACAACTCAGGGGCCACCCCAAGGATTTGAGAACCCACGTCTAGAGCCTGCTCTAGCCCATTTCCTGCCTCCTATTCAGTAGGACCATCCAGGATGTCCAGCACCCATACCACCCCAAACCTCCCTATCTGGCCATCCAGATGCTTCGACCCTAGAGCACCCAGCAGTCTTTCTCAGTATTTCACTTCAATCTCTCCTGCCGCAGAAGCCGGTCGCAGGGAGCGATGAGGAAATCGGGCAGGTGGAAGGAAGAGGGTGCCCCGCACAGCACACGGAGGCACTGGATACAGTAACTACAAGTGAGTGAAGAAGGGGAACACATTTCTGAAAGATGTGGAGGGGATGCCAGGAAGAAGGAAAGGGAAGGAGATGGAGACAGGGCCTCTGCGGCCCCGGGAGGGGAGATGATGCCCCGCAGTGAGTGCTGCTCTGTGGTGGGCACTTACTGTCTTCATGCCCACGATGGACTTCTCCACCTTGGTGACATACGTGACGTGGTCCTCGTTCGACTTGAGCTCCTTCTGCTGAATCCTTTCGTAGATGCCGACCACCAGCTCCCTGGGGATGTCAGCCCCGTCATCCACACCTAGGGCCATGGAACGGGGAAGGGGAGGGGTGTCAGGGGCCTGGAGCCAGAGAGGGGGCGCCCCCTACCTGACTGCCGCTCCCGAAGAATGGCCTTGATTTTTTCCTGTCCCCGCTCCGAAGCCTTCAGTGGCTGGCTCCCCATACCCGCTAAAGTAGGGATGAACTCCTTCGCCAGGCACCGGAGCTACTACACTAGGGGCCCAGCACATGCCCCCAGCGCCCCCTCCTGCTGTTCCATAGCCAGAGCCTCTGCTCCCCCCTCCCAGGCCTCCTTCCCCATCTCTGAACGCGGCCTCCGCGGTCCTGCCTTTGCTCCCCCGGTTCTCCCGTCTTAACAACCTCCCCCCCAGCCCCGCCAGGAGCATCGCTGAGCATCGCTGTGTCGGTCTTCAGGCCCTCCCCTCCCCTCCGGTAGGGAGCGTGGAGCTCAGCGATTAGTTGTTGAGTGGTGACAAGATTCTCCCCTCGCTGGGAGCACGGGGTGGCGGTGGTGGGTGGGTAGTGAGACATTAAGTGAAGGAGAGGAGGGAAGCCCCCGTGGTGGTGCTGTGAGGAGACCGCCACCCATCTCCCACTTCACAGTGACCTTCAGACTCTGGTAGCAAGAAATACCAGCAGGAAATATACCAACACGAAAACCACTTTCCCCAGAAGGTAGAAACAGAGGCAATAAAAAAAAAAGTCTTCTTTGTACTTTTTCTAAATCTTTCTTTAATGATTATACACTCCTTTTTCTTAAAAGGGAAAAATTAAAAATAAAACATCTTGGGCTTCCCTGGTGGCGCAGTGGTTGAGAGTCCGCCTGCCGATGCAGGGGACGCAGGTTCGTGCCCCGGTCCGGGAAGATCCCACATGCCGCCGAGCGGCTGGGCCCATGAGCCACGGCCGCTGAGCCTGCGCGTCCGGAGCCTGTGCTCCGCAACGGGAGAGGCCACAACAGTGAGGGGCCTGCGTACCGCAAAAAATAAATAAATAAAAATAAAATAAAATAAAACATCTTGGGCAAGTGCTCTCCAAGGAGTTTTCCTAAGTGCCAAGAGGACATTACACCTTCTGTGAGCGGCCCTCTGTATTGACTCTGTTTCTCCCACATCTGAGTTTGGTTCTGAAAGTCGGGCACCCAGGGGCCTGGAAGAAGCCAGGCTGGGGGCAAGAAAGAGCAGGCCAGGGACTGAGCACACGGGGCTCCCAGGTAAAGACGGCAGGTTGCACCCCCTCTGCTCCTTCTGAATGCCCTAGGAAAGGGAATTTTTTTTTTTTTTAAAGGCAGAGACGGGGGAAGAGGCAGTGGCACCAGGGGACCTGGAAGTGGGTGAATGAGTACATGGATCAGCAAACCTGGGAAAGAAGACACAGAAGCCAGCAGAGAGGTTAGGAGGCTCAGAAGCACCAAGCGCTCTGGAGTTGGTGCAGCCCCTGCAGGTGGAGGTGAAGTTGGGCTCGAAACAGGAAAGTCGGTTGAAAATCAGTTTAAAAGGCAATTAGACATCCCCGCCCCTTCCTCCACCCCAGTCTTCTGATGGAGGCTTCATCCTCTGGAAGGGATGAACCAGGAACTCTGGGCTGGGGGATCCCAAGCCCAGCCAAGGGTGGGAGTCTGTGCTGAAAACTGGGGGATGGAGATGATATCTACGTACTAGGAGACCCTCTCAACCCATTTTCCACAAAGATCTCGGAATACTGGCAGACAGACTCATACCCTCTGGGCAACAGACTGGACATTTCTCTTTTGAAGAAGCAACCAGCACAAGAGAAAATATCTAAAGATTCTGCAGTCAGGTCTCCCAGTGAAACAGCTCAACTAAATCTTGCTGTGAGAACGTCCATCAGTCAGCAACCCCATACGTGCTCAGAGTTTTAATCAGCCTTTTAGTGGCTCACTGTTAAATCTGGATGGACAACCAAGTTTCATCAGAAAGAACATCATACCTTCAGAGATGAATAAGAAGACACTGCATCTACAAAACAGGAACAGAATGCTGTAGAAGAGGAACACTTAGCAAAAGAGAGTTACTGAAAATGAAAAATAAGATAGCAGAAACGAAAACTTAGTAGGAGACTTGAAAGATAAAGCCGAGCGCCATCTTCAAGAAAGTCAAACGAGAAGCCAAAGATGGCAGATAGAGAGCTCTAACGATCAGAGGCTCAAACTGGGAGTTCTAACACCTGAATAATAGGAGTTCCAGAGGAGAGTATGGAAAATGGAGAGGGAAAATGATCAGATACAATATTTAAGAGGAGTTCCCACCTGAAGATAAATTCTAATTAGAGATATTGTATATTGGAGTATATGTATGCAGTTTTCCAAAATAATATAAGCGTATGCGAAGATGTCTAGGCACTTGCCAGATGGGGCAGAACTTTTACACTTTACAGAATTTTTAACACTTTACCAGTAGGGACGCAAAGGAGTCTGTACAAATAATTTGATCTGCAATTACTATTTGAGGTTAAATATTTTGTGAATATTAAATTATCAGGTCTATCTGTGAGTTAACCAACAACTGGATACAGCTGAAAGTACCAACTGATTTTCTTTTTGTTTCTTCCAGTTTTACTGCTATACAGTTGATACGCAGTACTGTGTAAGTTTAAGGTATACAGCTCAATGATTTGACTTACGTAGATGATGAAACCGTAAGCAGCTCCTTTGCCCCTCTTCTGTTTGTTCATCCCTGTATTCCTCAGACCTTCCTCATAAAGATGAGATCACTAAGCCACTTTCAACCTAGTCCCTGATTTCTGCTTTACCAAATGTACAAAATGCCTTGCTCTTAACCTGTTGATCCCTTTCCTGGATTAGAAGGAGTAAGAATGAAGGATTAAGCAGTTAAAGAATGACTAACTCTCTACCCCTAGGTCCCCCTTAGTAAATTTGCAGGTGGACCCCGAGGGCACAGGCAGACCACGTGGGTCAAAGAATCCAATTGCAGACAGACCGCCTGAGCAACACAGCATCCCAAGGAAAATCAGGAGAAGTCAGCAGGTCTGCATGCAATGGAAAAATGACAAAGAATCTGACCTCCTGCTTTAATGATTAACTGAGATCGTTTCCCCTTTTTCCCTTTAAAAATTGTCATGGTTGAGCAGAATCTTCAGAGTTGGTCTCTGGACAGAAGTCCACCTTCTCCCCAGATTGCCGGCTTTTCTGAATAAAGCATCTTTCCTTTCTATGAAAAAATAAAGAAGAGTTCCCACAATCAGAGGCATGTGTTTCTAGACTAAAAGGAAGAACGTAGTACCCAGCACAATGGATGAAAGAAGGACCATAACAGGGCACATCATGGTGAAAATTCAGAACACAAAAGACAAACAGAAGAACCTAAAAATGTTCAGGGAGAGTGAAAAAAACGTAAGCAAGAGGTCAGGGATTGTAACAGTGGCAGCACTGACACCTAAAAATCAACGGAGCAATGCCTCCCAAATTCTGAGTTCAGTGTTTCCAGCCGGGAAATCTGCTCCCAGCCAAAGTTTCAATCAAGACTGAGGATAGAAAAAGACATATCCAGACATGCAAACTCTTAAAAAGTTTGTCTCCAGTGTACCTTTTCCCTGGAAGTAAACTAAAAACGAGGAAGCGATGAAACCCAGGAAACCTGAATCCAACACACATCAGTTAGGAGACAACTTGTCTGGTAAACGCCATAAAGCTTATCTCAAGGCCCTGCTCGTGGCTCTTCTCTCCTAAGTCGTGGAGCAGGAAAGGGCCAGTACCACCCAGACAGCAGCCGTGGTGCCTGGGGCCCGGAGGTCACCCAACAGACGACGTTCCACAGAGGGCAAGGGGCATCGCCCAGGGGCCCTTGCCGCTTGCCGCAGGACAGTGGCAGCAGCTCCCGGAAACTCCCCCGATGCCTGGCATGCTAGCAACTTCCCCAGGGCCGCTCGGCGAGACCGGGCCCGGAGAGCGGCATGCAGTGCCCTTGGCCACCGGGGTGACGACCTACCATCGGGGCTGAGGCTCCCGGAACGACCCGAGCAGCGTCCCCGCTCCTCCCGCCGCCGCCCCTCTACCTCGCAGGTTTCGGATGAAGTCCTCCAGCATCATCTTCCGGTCGGGCTTAATGTTGGGGCTGTACATGTCGGTGTTGAGGAGGATGACGGCGAAGGCCAGGATGAAGACGGTGTCCGGGTTGTGGAACTGCCGCACCACCTCGGGGTTGCACATGCAGTAACGCTGGCTGTGCGGGGAGACACGTGAGGGTGCTGAGGGCCCACACCCTCCCTGAGCTCCAGCGACGGGGGGACCTGGGAACGTGTCCAGTCCTCCGAGGGCTTAAGCCCAGGGAGGCTCCCCCTCCTGCCTCCGACTGCCGTCTGCCCCGTACCCCGGTCCCCATCCCCTCCGAGGGGACGGGGCAGCTGTCACACACCCAGAGACCCCCGGAACCCCACTCCCGGCCCCGTTCCAGCCTCACACAGACGCTCAGGAAAGATGTGCTGGTCGATGGGGACGGTGAGGTGCCTGCAGGGAGAGCCCGAGGGGTCTGTCCTGCATCTTTGCTTCCCTCCCGGCCCTCCAGGGACTCCTGGCCCCCAGGCTTACAGCCACTCTGCTTCCCCGCCCCCAAGTCCCGGGTGTGTGCGAGGGGAGTGGGGCTGGGGAAGGGTCCCACCTGAAGGTCTCTATGAGCCGTTCCACCTTCTGGGCCTCGCCCTGCACGCGGATGTGCGCCTGGAACTTGCGCAGGGCCTCGTCCAGCTCCATGGCAGAGAAGTCCATCTCGTCCACCACGCAGCTGAGGCCGGGAGGGGAGGGGGTCGTGAGGGGCGTGGGCCCCGAACCTCGCTCCACCCACCAGAGCTGGGAGGAGGGCGTGGCCCACCCGCCGGCTGGAAGCCCCACCCTGGTGGGGAGGGGGGACTTGGTGTCTGTGACCAACAAGGGGTGACTTACCCTACCCACCCCCAGAGTCTCCTTCCACCGCCCGTGAGGACCCTCGTCACACCTCCTCCCACCCGACGGCCCTGCGAGGCACCGCCTGAGGGCCTCCCTCCCACCTCCGGACCCTGGGGTCCAGGGCTGCGGCTAGCTGTCCGAGGCCCCAGGGCCAGGAGGCTGAGCCTGCTGCCTCCGAAAGCAGGTCCTTTCCTCTCAGCCCCAGGGTGTCCAGAGTCAGGGGTTCAAACGGTGAACAGTGCTTTCTCTTCTGTCCTCTCCAAGGCCTCTCGGGGCCTTTCTCCCTGGTTCCGCCCCGTTTGGGAACCTCCTCTTACACCAGCACCCTCCCAGGTCGGAGCGTCTGCAGACTCCTGGCCCTCCTGGGCCTCCCTCCCGAGGCCCTCCCAGCCGCCGGCGTATCCACGCTTCCCCTCCCCGGGGTGCACCGCTTCCAGCGCCGTGAGCAGCGGGCCCCGTGCCCCTGAGGGCCGCAGGCCCCCCCGTGCAGCGGACATGTCGCCTTCTGCACCCACGTGCTGCACTGCGCCCCTCTGTCCTGGTCATTGTACACCTGCCCCACCCTGCCCTTTCTCTGTTCCCACAGCCCGTGGTGGGCACCACCAGCGTCACAGCCCTGGACACCACTGCCCACCTGTCCCACCCTGAGCAGGCCCCAACTCCTCCGTGATCAGCTCTGGGGCTGCCTGCGGCCTGGTAGACTTGGGGGGCCCCGCTTGACCCTGGCTCTGCTGTCGGTTTTTAGGAGAAAGCAAGGAGCTCCCGTGGCGGCAGTCAGGGCCCTGGTGGTCGGCGGCCCCGCCTCCCCCCACTCCTCTTGGGGGGAACAAGGAGGAAGGGGCGTCCCGAGGCCACCCAGAGAGGGCAGGGCCAGGGGCTCTTTCCCCCAGGACAGGGCAGACGGCCATCTGCAGGCTGGAAGCCACACTCAGCTTGGTGAAGCCCGGGCTTCTCTCAGGCTTGGCGGCCTCAGTAGAGGGTGGGGCAGGGACTGGAAGATGGGAGGCAAGGACTTGGCCCAAGGGTGGGAATGGGCTGCGTCTCGGCACCTGAGACAGACAGCAGGTCCAGCAGGCGAGAGGGCAGCTCCTGTCACCTCTTCCCCGGGCCGTCCCCCGGTGAGGGAAGGTGAACTCAGGGCAGCCTCACAGGGCCCACAGCTGCGTGTCCCCCAGCCCAGCCCAGCCAGGCCAGGAGGGACGCATCGAGCACGACTGAGCCAGACAGGATGCCGGTCGGAGGGGGCGAACCGGTGCAGCAGGAGGGCCACGAGCGGGAGCCGGGGAGGGAGCCAGAGACACAGAGACAGCGAAAGATACGGGGGTAGAGAGTCAAGTGAGAGAGACACGGAGGGAGAGACAGAGACAGAGAGCAAGAGAAAAACAGAGACAAGAGGAGAAAGAGGGAAAGACAGACAGAAGGGAGAAGGCAGAGCAGACGAGGGGGACGAGGCTCGGCCGGCTGGGCTGGGCAGGCCTGGGTGTGCAGCAGCGGGCAGCCGCACTGCAGCCTCTCGTCCTTGGGCCCCGCCGACTCCTGCAAGGCCCAGGCACAGGCAACGGGCCCCAGCCTGGCCAACCCTGACACACAGGCCGGCTGCCCGGAGGACCCCAGAACGGCCCTGGTCCCCCCGGTCTGGGGTCCAGGACTTGCCCCTGTCAGTCCATCCATCCCACCCCCGACCTGGCCCCCCTGCACGACTCTGAACCCCACGGTCCCGGCACCCTGTGTCCCTCAGTGGTGTCCCTCCCAGAACCTCTGTCCATGGACTGTCCCCCATGCTCTGGACCGGGGCTGACCCCACGATGGGCACCGAGGGAAGCGGCGGGAGGTGGCCGCAGAGCAGCCGGGAGCTGGTGGCCGGCTTTCCAGCCCTTCACTCAGGTGACTGCTGCTGGCCGCTCGGGGCGGCAGCTGAAAGCTCCAGTAACAAGCCGGAGAGTCAAGGACCAGGGCAGGAGACTCAGCCGGGTGGAAACGCCAGCCCGCAGAGCAGGCAGCAGGCTACACCACCCACGGCGCGGGGTGTGCAGGCCTCTGCGGGCGGACACCTGTGCGGGGGCTGGGGAGGCTCTACAGCCCACCTCTTGCAGGACCCCATGGCAGAGCCTTCAGGCAGCCGGTTGAAATGCAGGGCCCCGGCCCTACCCCGGATTTACCAACTAGACGATTGAGAGCAGTGCCTGGGAATCAGCATCCCTCAAACTCGCCAGTCGATCCTTAGAAACTGAAAACGAATGGCTGAGCCGAGCGCAAGGTCGGGGGGATGCTTTTAAAATGAGAGCCCGGGAGCTCACGGGAGCACGCGTGTCCTCTCGGCTCTCAGGGGCTGCTTTTGTGGTTGGGTGGTGAGGGAGGGAGCGCGGGAGGGAGAGACAGACAGCCCCACCCCTTCTCCACGGCACGTGCGCATACACACACGTATGCGCGCGCAGGCGCACACGCGCACGCGCGCGCACGCACGCACACACTGATTTCCTGCCTTGCTCCCTGCAGTTGCCACCACAGGCATCGCTGTTTGATGGGCAGGTGGTCTGGGGTTGTCAGATCTTTGAGAAAAAATCTAGACGTTTTCTGCAAAACCCCCAGAAGCTGTCTTGAGAGGCGGAAAGACACTACTGCCTGCAAATCGTTTCCTGTCTGTAGAGCTGGGGGTTGGGCCAGGTGACCTCTTGCCCCGCCGTGACATGGTCTGATGAGGACCCAGACCCAGAGCCGGCCCACAGGCAGCCTCTGGAGGCTCCGCGGATGCTTGCAGGCAGCAGGGGAGGGCAGCGTCGTTTCTGGCTGGCTTTGGAATACAGCTCACACGACTGGCTGCTTCTCCCCGCCTCCCAGGGAACCAGTGCCCTCCTGGGGCAGGTGGCCGGGCCGAGGCCATGCCCTGGTGGACCCTCACCTTGTAACGGGAGCTCCGTCATCCAGGAATCACTCCCCACGGTCCTCGCCCCTCCCCACAGCGTGGCTCTCCTTTCCCTCCCTAAGGTGCCAGCCTGCACCTGACCTTGGCTCTCTCTCCTCTCCTCTCCCCATCTCCCATTCTTCCCGTGTTCTGCAGATCACTTGCACCTAAAACCTCCCCTCCTGTCCGTCTTCTTCTTCATCACCCTGAAATCCTGCTGGGAGCAGACTGCTGGCAGTTCTCCAGATCCTTCTGCCACCTCCACCAGCACAGCCAACAGCCCTCTCCTCTCTGATCACCTTTAAGGTGAAAAAAATCACACGTTTCTGGGTGGTCGTTTTCTGGTGTATAATCTCCCTATTTTACAGAAGGTAAAACTGAGACTGCAAAGGGGCTTGCTTGGTGTTCCCTCTGCTAGGGAGACCCTCCCCAATCTACGCCAGTGGGCAGCTCCCTCTGCACCTCCTTCACTGAGTATTTTTTTCAGTGCTTCACTAAGTGGGCAATGACTTCATCTCCTCAGTCCGGTGGGATGTTAAGCATCATCCTGTTATTTTTTATTATATGAGGAAACCAAAGCTCACAAGAGAGCTGACCTTGCAGGGGGCACCGCACACATCGCATTCCTGGCATGTTCCCTCTCGGGGGCTGTTGCTAATGCATCTCTCGCTGGGGGCTGCTCTCTCACCCAGATGCCTGGTGGGACCTGTGAGGGCCCAAGGAGGGGCAGTTGGACACATCACAGAGTCACGGGTGAAGGCCGTTTCACTGTCAGCAGTCATATGAGGCCATGTGGCCACCCTGCAGTTTCTGAGCTGGCCTGGTACACGGAGCCCACAGCAGCGGACCAAACCCCTGACCCCCTACCTTCTGCCTCCTGGGGCTTTCTCTTGCCCTCCCCCTCCCTCCCCCACCCCCCACCCCCCGGCATGCATTGAGCACCTCTGCATACACAGCACTGTGCTAGGGACCTGGAATAAGTGGCAAACAACACAAACACAGATCCTGTCCCAGTGAGAGAGACAGGCATTAAGCGCAGAGTCAAAAATAATTATTTCATTATAATCATGACAAGTTCTGTGTGGGGAAAGGACAGGGTTTTGTGAGGGGACAAAGGAGATGTACTTTTTATTGGTGTGTCCAGAAATGCCTCTTTGGGGATGTGACATTTGAGCAGAGACCTAAAAGATGAGTAGGATCTGATTAAGGGAGGGGGAGGGGTGGGGGAGACACGATAAGATCCAGTTTGTTTTAAGATGATTTCTCTGGTGTTGGGCAAGAATGAATGAAAAAGGAAGGGCAGGAGCAAGAGAGAAGCAGGGGGCCATCAGGATGCACCTACAGAAGTTCAGGCTAGAGACGACGAGCCTTGGCTAAGGTGGAACAAATTGAATGGACCTGAACAGACCTGAACAGACCAGGCCAGCTCAGAATCTGAGAGACATCCTGGAGGGAGAACTGATGGGACAAGGTGATGGAAGGAATGTGGGCGGTAGGGAAAAGGAGTCGGCGGTGAGTCTCAGAGCTCGGGCTTGAACGCCTGGGGGCCTGGTGGTACTAGTTTTTGAGATGGGTGGACACACATGCTGGAGAGATCGAGACTTCAGTTTTGGACACATGAAGTTGGAGATGTTCTTCCATATCAGTTTAGTATCTACTCAATCAACGTCATTAGCACCCAAAGTCTTGCCTTTTCTATTTTACAAATTAAAACCCAGCCTCAACCCTTCTTTGCTCTGTAGTCACTAATCCTTTTCTCTACGCCTCTTTTTTTAAAATTTATTTATTTATTTATTTATTTTTCCCTGCGTTGGGTCTTCGTTGCTGTGCACGGGCTTTCTCTAGTTGAGGCTAGTGGGGGCTACTCTTTGTTGCGCTGCACGGGCTTCTCATTGCAGTGTCTTCTCTTGTTACAGAGCACAGGCTCTAGGTGCGGG